GTGGGATTCTTACATATTTTGTTCTATATATAATTAACATTTAGCTCTTTGTGTGTATACGCCCTTCGTGGAAACCAGTTGTAAATAATTGTCGAAGTTAGCGTATTGAAATAAAGTTTTACATTACATTACATTACATTACATTACACTTTACTCGTTTCGCACAAGCGTATCCAACCAAGAATAAAGAAGCGCGAACCGCCGCAGAAAAACTGTACAACGATTTTGTTCTTAAATACGGATTTCCAAGCCGGATTCTACATGATCAGGGGCGGGAGTTCGAGAATAGATTATTTCATCAATTAGAAAAATCGTCTGAAATAATTCGATCGCGAACAACACCATATCACCCACAAGGCAACGGTAAAGCAGAAAGATTCAATAGAACGCTTTTGTCCATGCTAAAGACACTGCCAGAGAATCAGAAAAAACGATGGGACCAACATGTCTCGAAAGTTGTACACGCATATAATTGCACGAGAAATGATGCTACCGGTTTCTCGCCATTTTTCCTACTTTTCGGTCGTTCTCCAAGATTATCGATAGATTTGATGTTTGGTTGTAACAAAGTTGAAGACAGACTCAAACATAAAGATTATGTGAAAAAGTGGTCTAGTGCAATGAATGACGCTTATACTTTCGCCAGCGAACATGCTACTAAAAACAGTTCAAAAGGAAAGAGACATTATGATAAAGGTGCGAGATATTCCACGTTAAAGCCTGGTGATCGTGTACTAGTAAGGAATTTAAGTGAACGGGGTGGTCCTGGGAAGTTGCGATCGCACCGGAAGAAAGACATTCACATTGTCGTAAATTGCATGCCGGACAGTCCCGTGTATGAGGTGAAACCAGAAGCGAAAGACGGAAGGAAACGATTACTTCATCGGAATCTTTTGTTGCCGCGCGATTTCCTACCGCTCACACCGGAACCACAAGAAAAAACAAGTCAAGTTCAAGAAAAAACAAGTTCAAAAGAAGGGTAAAAGCCCAATTGAAACTGCACACGGAACAGCAGAACAGTGTGAAAGTGATAGTGATGACTCGAAGAATTTTAGTCGAGGACCTGTATATGAGTTTGTATGCATTTCATTTAGGACAGATAATCTCAACTGTTTTAGGGCAAGTTGACCATGACGGTCAACATGGTAACGCTGCCCGAACCCCAATCCGGGCCGAAACGTCCGAAACTGACCACACCCAAAAACGACGCTTTCGCCACACTGCTATCTACCAAACCATAAAAGCTTTGGCTATTCTGAGGTGCTTATATGGTTCAGAGATGGTACTTTTGGGGGTGATCATTGGTAAGTGTGAAATGCCTAGCACTAATATTTCACAAGAAAATGACCATGCAATAATCATAGTTAAACGTCAATTTGTGGCTTGCAACTTCAGATAAACAGCAGTGGACTTACATTACCTTTTTCCCTAAATTTTTTTGATAGAAACATAATTGCTACTTATTTAAATATATTATCACTGGTTTGGTGTAAAATAGTTAATATTTTCTGAACGAAATAATAATTTGAAATGTGCCTATCTCCTGCAAATGGACGTATTTGGCCAAGTTCTCCACTTTACTCCGCTGTTTATCGGCGATCTCGTCGACATCCTACAAAAAATGTAAATCATCTCAGACATAATGGTATCAAGAACATTTTAAACAAGTTTCAACTTGGTTTAAAGTAGCCGGATCATACCTGTTTAACCATCGACAAGGTAAATCCACAACTTTGTCCAAATTCGGCGCCATTTTGTCATCCCATGTCGGTTGTCAACAATTCGGCCTTGTTACTCTTCCATCCAAGCCATTTCTATTCCACTAATAATAAATTTAACCCGTTCGTAATTTGTACGTTTTTGGGTGTGGTCAGTTTCGGACGTTTCGTCCCGGATTGGGGTTCGGGCAGCGTTACCATGTTGACCGTCATGGTCAACTTGCCCTAAAACAGTTGAGATTATCTGTCCTAAATGAAATGCATACAAACTCATATACAGGTCCTAGACTATTTGATTCAAATATTACCTGAACAGAGAAATTTTGAAAATGATTCATTACAAGGAAACGAAGCGGTTGATCGAAGTGAACCTGATACGGCGGATCCAGCAGATGATATAGCGCAAAACCAAGCTGCAGAGAACACCCAGGAGCCTAACCCGAACACGGAGCTGGAAGAGCAACAGAATGAAGAACTAATACAACCTGCAACAGAGAATCCCCACCTACCCCACCAACACGACGAAGTACGCGAGTAAGGTATGCACGAAACCCTCTAAACTACAACAACCTTGGAAACCCAGAACACTTCGTGTCGTCAGTTAATGCAACACCAACCTTTTCCCCATTTACCTATCCACAGAGTTACCCACTGCCGCCACCGGCGCCATTTATTCCACCACTATGGTTCCCTACGTTGGTCCCTACATTTCCTCATCCCTTCTACCCTCCAGTAATCTACCAATGTCCGTGCTGGAACTCACATTATTTGATGCCCTTTAACATGGGTTACAAGACGTTTAAATTTATAACAATTATTAGTATTTGGTTTATAAACTTTACGATCATAATAAGTAGGTGTAAACTACTTTAAAACCTGTTACAATGCAGAAGTATTGAAGAGTTGTTAGTTATTACGTGAAAAGGAATGGACAAAGTTAAGATATCAGACGAAGATGTTGTTTGTCTGGCCAGTAAGCAGCAAATTCCTAATAATTTAGACTTGAAGAACATGGAGGACTCGAACAATATTGTTTATTATAGAACTAAATCCACTCGGATTTGTTAACATTCAAATCGTAATGTTAGAGAACACTCTTTTTAGGAGGGGAGTGTGTGACGTGACCAATTTAGATCACTCTGTCTCGGGTACGCTGTAGAAAGATAGTCACGTGACGAAGCAGCATGCTTGAATTTTGTACTTTTTACTAGCTTTATAAGATGATATTTAAACCGACAAAATGTAGTATTTCGCGTAATAGTTGAACGGGTAACAGTATCATAGACAAGAATCAAATTTCAAGTATGAAATACAAGTTTTTAAACATACTTTATGATATATAATGGCATGCAACTGAGATAATTTCAGACACTTGTATGTTCGCTACTTTAGTTTATGCAAAAGTAATCCCCGAATTACATTTATACGATCCACCGTTTCCTATCCATTTAATTTAACTATCCATGATCAAAATAAGGTTCTGTTATAGTTATATTATAAAAGACATAGAAACATTTTCCATGTGTTTCCAGACAGTTATAGAAACACTTGTGGTAGTTTGTGAAAACTCGAAACAACGTGAAATGAGATCTCGCCTTATACGGGTTCGTCATTTCCCATAGATTATTTCTCGTTCTGTCCAAACTCACATACGTGTTTCTATAATTGTATAGAAACGCCGGGAAAATTTTTCTATGTTTCTTTTGAACTTCGAACCGATTTTATAAAATAGATGCAATAAGTTAACCTTTAAAGCTCATTTTCATCCGCTTCCATAAGCTCCACGTCGTCTTGCAAATTCCAGTTTGGGAAGAAACGGTTGGCATTTTCAAAACGAATTTCTAAATCAGCACATATCGCGCCGAAGTTGACCCCAAACTCCATCAACGAGTATTTTTTTTCCTTCGATATCAAGGTCGTAGCCTTGCACGTGTAAAACTACAATTTTTCCATTCATGTCAAATCCAGGTGAACCACTGGATCCACGATAAAGGCTGGTGTCGTACGCGAGACGCGGTGGGTATTCTTTGAAGAAGCCATCAATCTTTGCCATGTGTATTCCACCATTCATTAGACGTTGACGTCGTCTCAATCTTTCCTTCGAGTCAGCCTCAACAACGACGCACGTTTCTTCCCGCAGCTCTCTGTCTTGAGGAAAACCAGTTATGCATACCAGACCTTCATACAAATAATAACCTCTGACAATTTCACCAAGGCGAACACGGCCTGAATAATGCATAATAATAGTATAATATAATTTCTAATGTATTTCTAAGTCTCAGTCAAATAAATGGGGCTTTCTAATGTATAATAAGTCGTTGTCAAATAATGGCGAAGTCGTCAGAGACACCACAGTCTCCGGGATAAATAGATGAATAGCATAATTTGTCAAAGTGCACAAATAGATGATAATCATCTATCTAGGGGAAACACAAATCCTAACTCCATGCAACTCTAACCCTAATCTAATCTAATCTTAATCTAACACTAATATCTTATTCTGACACTAATCAAAATTTGATGACGTATTTTCTTTTAAAATGAACTGATTTCGCTTTGTACTTTTCAGGTAGTTGCATCCGTATACCAACGAAAGTTTGTTATCATATTATTGGCACTATGAAAATAGTTAGGAAAATAATAAAATAACGCAATTGTTGTCAAAGATAAATACTCTAGGTCAAGTAGGTAACATAAGCAGTGGCGGCGTCAGGCCTCAGAATTTTTTTTTTTTTTGGGGGGGGGAGCATTTGAGGGGCAAACTCATATTTAGGGAGGACAATTAAGATACAATTTTGAAAAACGTACCGCTATTTGCCCATGCGGTTAACCGTTCCTTTTATGTATAATTTTTATTATTTACAAATATCATGCAACTTCGTTACAGTTACTAATCAACAATGTGAACAAGCATAATGTAAACTTAACATTTTTAAATCCACTTTCACGGCTATATAAAAAATTTAATGCAATTTAAACAAGTGTAATTCGGTACCTCGGATAGGTTTGAATAAACCTATCCACAACCTTTTCCAAGTCAATACTTAGTGCTCTTTTTCTGTGAATGCTGAATGCTGATTACTGTTAAGACTTTTAACCTAGAGTTGGACAAGTGGTTTTTGATTATTTTTAATTTACTAAATGTTCTTTCCCATCCCGCAGTACTACCGGAAGGGTAAAAGCAATTTTGACCGCTTTACAGAGTTACGAAAATGCTAAGTTAAAAGGATTTAAAAATTCCGCAAATTCATCTATTGTTTCAAAGACTTTTCCTTTTTTCTCAAGCCGACTTGGTCACATGGATCAGGCTTGTGTAGCCTTTAGTCACTCTCAGTGACTAATAATTTCCACAGACATTCTGAAGAACTAGAGGGAGGGGGATAGTAGGGCATGTAAAATAATAATAATAATAATAATAATAATAATAATAATAATAATAATAATAATAATAATAATAATAATAATAATAATAATATTAATAATAATAATAATAATATAATAATTATAATAATAATGAAAACTTTATTAAATGGATATTTAGCTTATATATACAATTGCAAATCTCACTTATATCAGGTAATTTACAACTGGCTACTTAAATCACTGATTATATATGCAAAAATTATACTATTAAGATAACAAAATGACAGTACAACGTTTAAACACTTAACAGTTCCGGATTCATCCATTCCTTGTTTCGACAACAAAATATATAATACGTTGTTCGGATTGCAATCGTCGTCATTCTTCTAATACAGTAATTCTGATGTTGCTTTTGAAAACCAAAATCATTAAGCATTTCTATGAAAGTAGAACATTCTTTACTGAAAACACCAAGAGAACTAATCGAAAGATTTACAAATTTTACTGAGTTGAAATGTTCATTTTGTTCCCTAATTAATTCTTTATATTTTGATTTTTTACGCTCAACGTTTTTTTGAAGATTTGATTCGAAGCCAACTGTAAGTTCAACAATATAGAGTGTTCCGGTTGAGGTTGAAAGAAGCAAATCTGGACGGTAGGTGTCACCAGTGATGATTGATGGACTTTTGTACCCTGGGAGATCCACGTAAAGATGTGAGCCGCTTACGGTCTGCAGGCTTGTTGCGAGAAAGTTTAGAACGGAGTCATGTCTCCACGTGAATCGTTCTAGATACGATTGGCAACCAGCTACTACGTGCAGAAGTGTCTCAGGAGCTAGACATCGCGAACAGTCTGAAGTCGGTGATAAACCCCATCTTGCAAGGTTTTGGCGCGTTGGAAGGGAGTTATTGATGTATCGAACTGTAAAGTTGAATATATTTTTCGGAAGGTTCGATTGGCACGCAGACCAAATTTTAGTGAGTTGGGACAGTGAGAACTTTGTTATATTAGTGAAGAAAGAGCCTTGACAGGTTAATTGAGTATGCAGTTTATCCTCTTGTCCAGAGCGAAAGTCCTTAAGAACTTGCTTAGTGGAGTTATAAACGTCATACTGAATATTTTTGCTGTTGCTAGTTGCTTTCCAAAGATCGTTAATTGCTTCGTTTGGGGATGTTTTTAGGGCTTTACGGAGAACAGTTTGACATTGAATAAATTTGACAGATGGGGGACAAATACTGAGGCCAAACTTGTTGCGGGTTAGGAAAACAGTGCTTAGCGTTCCAGATATAGGTATATCAAGCCATTTACGGATATAACTGTTGACTTTGGAATCAATGTTTTCGGTGACCCACGTTTTCGATACGCTAGAAACTGTAAAATGCCAGGATAATTTGGACAGAAGATATCGACTGTAGAGGAGGATTTTATTTTTTGGATGTAATGGTTTGGAATCAATATCTGCCATTAGTTCTTCAACGAGTGAGATTAGTTCAGACTTGTGGTGTTCGTCTGACATATTAAAACTAAAGTATCTTCCTAAGTATTGAAAAGCCTCACCGATATTGATCTTTGGAATTAGTTGCTTGTTAATAAGTAGTTTAGGCAAGTATTGGATTGATTTTGTTAGAGCTTTTTTGATACCAAAGGTGCTACATTTATCAACCCGAATAATCATGTTGGACCATTGGCACCAAATGGAGAAGCGGTTTAGAAGATGTTGATTTTCGGATTCTTGACTACTTATGACGGCGGCATCATCAGCAAACTGAAACCAGTGGATGGGATTTAGAAACTGTAAGGAGAAGCCGAATTGACGATATTTATCTGTTTTTATGTGTTGTATAAAGGTGTTGAAACACATGTTGAAGAGAAGAGGACTCAGGCAATCACCTTGCAATACTCCACGGCGAACTGGTATGAAGGGGGTACGGAATTCAGATGTAATTATTGAAGTTTTAAAATCGGTATATAGACTTTTAATTATCAATTTAACATGTTCAGGGATATGGTGGTAATCAAGTACGGATGTGATCAGATTATGATGAACTTCACCAAAAGCATTCTTGAGGTCAAGTAGGGTGATGACTAGTGAGCGTTGTTTGATTCGGGCTTTATTGATTATATTGGCCATTTGTGCAGTATTTTCTAAGTTGCCAGACATGTTAGGTGTGAATCCTTTTTGAATATTATGTTCAATAAAGTTATTAACGGTTAGGAATGAATACATAGCGTTACGTAGGCAGGAAGTGAATACTTTTAATGGTATGGTCTCCAGTGTGATGGGTCGGAAATTGGACGGGGTATTAGTATCGCCTTTTTTATGGATTAGTATTGTGCAAGCTTTCTTCCATTCGGAAGGGATGGTTCCAGATAGCCACACGGCACGAATAAGGTCAGTTAAATATGTTCTTAGGAAAGGACAGCGTTTAAAACATATAATAGATAGCTGATCAAGGGGACATGGAGAGCCAGATGCCTTCGTTCTGCGTATTATAATCTTGACTTGTTGATACGATGGGGGGTGAAGGTCAAATTGAACTTCGGGGTCAGACAACGCAGGAATCCAGCTAGGAATATTGAACAATTTGTTTGGATGAATTGCAGCAAGGGTCTTAGTGAAGTGGGATAGGCATTGCGTCATGTTGAAAGATGGTAATATAGTGTCTTTCTTCCTTAGAATATTCTTGACATAACCCCAGAAATTTTTCCCGATATATTTGTCATGGTTAAGTGACTGGCTGCTG